TATATATATATATATATTATATATCGTATTGTAATTCTAATGGGATGTACTACTTTTCAAGAAATCAAAAAACTGCCGCTCTTGCTTCTGAGAACGTAGGCAAAGTTCTTGATTCCTACGTCTTCTTCGCGCTAGTTTCTCAACACCCACGAAATTAATGAATTTTTAACTGGTAGGTTGACCAAATATCTTTCTATTCCATATAATCAAATTAACCAGATTAAGTCGAGTGATTTGCCAATTTGTTTATGCCGAACTAATTGGATTTGTTTATTGATTCGTGTTTTCTTGTGGATATATTTGCAATATTCTAATCAGATCACCGCCCATACTTTGAACGCCCATACTTTGAACCTAGACTGGACTTTTATATATATTTGTATATATCTATATATGTAATACTAATTTATACATTTACTTTTTTATATTCAAAATATATATAATCAAAAGTATAGTAATGAAGGGTTATAGGAGATTCTCCCCGCATCATTGTCAAGCACCGTTAGACTTAAAATACTCGCATCCTTCCAAGCTCAACAACGTATTCCCAGCGGCAACAACAACGGCGTGTAGTTGCCGTTGTTCGTTTCTCCCCCACGTCGTCCTGTCTTTCCTTCAACTTCAATCTCAGAACCAGATTCAACTCCAACAAGATTTTACAGCCTCAGATTACTACTCCATAGCAGAGCACTTAAAAGCTTCTGCACTGTAATTAATGGCGTTGAATGTAAAATTCCCCAACGTATTTGGCTATAAATAGAGGGTTTAGTTACTTGAAATGCAGATTCATTGTAGCAAATTAAGCATTATGAAATTCATTCTGCTTGTCTTCTTCTTAGCTCTGCCTTCCTTTTGTTCTGCTTTGGAAGCTCAAGGTTTTGATTTCTTCTACCTTGTTCTGGAGGTAATAGCAGTTCATCGCTAGGAGATCTGCATGATTGTATATGATTAGGAGAGATTTATCATGAGTTTATGATAATATTATGACTGATTAATTTGTTTGTGCTTCAGTGGCCAGGATCATTCTGTGGTGCCACGCAGAGCTGCTGCTACCCTAATTCTGGCAAGCCAGCTTCAGACTTTCTAATCCATGGACTTTGGCCTAATAACAAGGATGGGTCTTATCCTTCCAATTGTGACCCCAACACTCCATTTGATTCATCACAGGTTGGTTAGTTTAATCTTTTTATTTTAAATAAAATAGAATTAAAAAAAAACGGATTTTAATTTGATGATGATGAATTTTATGTTCATATTTAGTTGACTCGAGTTTAAACATAAGTAATCAGATAAAGATTATGTTGCATTAATTTTATGATATTTCTACTATTAAAAGTATTTACATGCATAATGAACTTCTCATGCAATTATACACGTTAATATCATATTAAAAATAGAATTATGAACATTTTTAAGAAGTTAAATACATATTTTAAGTGTGGTTGGCTACAATAATAAGTGGGGTTGGCTGCATTAATATTTTTTCTTCATTTGTTCGGCTGCATAAGTTCAAAGTAACAAATTGCTAATGTTTAGATGTAATTGAATTATGTAAATACATAAGAATTGTGCACTATTAAAAAAAATTAAAATTATGGTTCAAATTATAACACAAAGCTGGGGCAGTCACATAAATAGCACTGAGACATTATTATTTACAAAACCAGCCCCCCTATTTCATCTATTTTTCAAATTATCACTTAAATATTGAAGTTTACCATGTACAATAACTCATATTTTTTCATTAATTTTACAAATTCTTGATGATTTGATGGTTGCACACGTAAATATATTGGTCTATGTTATCATTAAAAATAATCAAATTAAAAAAAAGAGTTTATATCCACATTATAAATATATAATAAATTTAATTAATGCAGATAAGTGATTTGAGCAGCAGCATGGCAACAGAGTGGCCATCACTGGCTTGTCCAAGCAACAACGGGGAGTCATTCTGGGCTCATGAATGGGCAAAGCACGGCACTTGTGCTGAATCTGTTCTTAATGAGCATGATTACTTCCATGCTGCACTTAGTCTGAAGGACAAGGCAAATGGCATTCTACAAATGCTGAGCAGCTCCGGTAAGTTTTATATGAAAATGTTTCATGAGCTGTTATTTTAGTCCTAGAATATTGCTATAATTATATTTTTAAATTAATCTCCATATTATTAAAATGAAGCTAACAATTCAAATGTTTTACATTTGATCAGGCATTGAACCCAATGATAATTCGTACAGCGTAAACAGCATAATAGAAGCGATAAATGGAGGAATTGGATATGCGGCGGGCATCGAATGCAACCAAGATGAATCCGGGAGCAGCCAGTTGTACCAGGTCTATCTGTGTGCAGACACATCTGCCTCCAGTTTTATTAACTGCCCAGTGTTTCCCAAAGGGGGCTGCTCCGGCGAAATTAAATTTCCATCTTTCTGAGGGATTAATATCGTATTAGTGTATGTTACCCTCATCATCTCATGTATTTGTTGTTGATAAATAAAGTTTTATGATTATTTGGATAAAATTGGCGTGGGGTTGTCAATGGTTCGATTTCGATCTGAGCTGGGGTGGGGTCGGGGCTCGTTGTATTTAATTTCGAGCCCGGCGGACTCGAGATTGAGTTGAGCTCGATCCGACTTGGAAAGTGTAACGAGCTGGCTCAAATTGTCTTATTTGGATCCATTTCAGCACAGAATTGGCTCAAAAATTAAACTGGCTGATTCATATTAAGATATTTGGTTCCATTTCAGCTTGAAATCGGCTTGAAATCGGTGGGTGACTTGTTATGTTCAATTTTAATTAGTGTTAAATATATAATTTTTATAAATAAAAGTATTACAAGCTGATCTCGAGTTAGTTTGAGTCGATTCATGTATGGCTCAAAATCAGCTCAAAAAAATTTCGATCCAAAGTTTCGGCTCATAACTCAATTCACTTAAATCTATTCTATCTCTATCTGAGTCGAAATTTGAATCAATTTCAAGCGATTAAAGGCCTTCAAACTAAATGCACGGCGGTAAATTAGGTTTTTTTAGTTGATTTTTTTAGATAAATTGATTTTCTTGAGCGCATGAAAAGGAGACGTATTATTATTAATATAATAAATTATTAATATTACGAGCTTCAAAATTAAAAATAAATTTTAGATATTCTTTAAGATTATTTTAGCTGACTTTTTTGGGTGACATTTAGAACTGTGTGGGATCATAATTTTTTTTAAAAAAAGAGAGAAAAAGCGAAAATTAAACATTAATTAAAATAAATCAAAATTAAAACTTAAATATTCTAATATATGA